TATCATGGAAAATTCCACTGGACATGGGTTTTATCTAGTGTGTGTGTGTGTCTGTGTGTGTGATGATAGAGTGGCTATTGTTTGAGTTTGTTAGAGAGACAGAAGTGGTCCCACTGGATGGGCAAAATCCATGCAAATATCTTGTGTTGAAAATATTGTTTCAGCTCATCTATTCTTAATGCAGCCGTTCATACCAACCGTGTAATTTCACTGGACGAATGTGCAACATTTCATTTTTTCAAGCTTGATTGATTTATGGTTTTTGTTTAGTTTTTTAAAATACAAATAAACTGATCTGACCAATCAAAACGCGCTTCAGTACTGAATATACAATGATATTTAAAATAATACATTTTAACAGCTACAAACTGCTTTGGGTAAGTCAGTTCTCGATGATTTCTCTGCCTCCTTACATACAGTATCATCTCTGCCAACAAGCACTGAAACTGCCTCACTGACATCCTGAATATGTCTATATTTTATAGATAGATAGATGGGATGAACCCAGAATCTCAGTTTCTTCTTTTTTTTTTCCACAAAAAAGCAGAAAAGTTAGACACTAACTAAACTACAATGCACACTAGCTATACACTCCAAACATGCTAAATGTCACAAATCTGTCGCCCTCCCTTCAAAATACACAACGGCAGCCTGGGACACAGCGGACAAGAAGTCGTTCCTGTTGTCCTGCATGTCTGTAGTTTGGATTGAAGCAGAGTCACATGATCATATACTTGAGGATGCATGGACTGCAACACACGCTAGGATGCTTATGTGTCCGTATACGTGCAGCATGGGAGTGCTGAACTTCCTTTGAGATGCTAAAGTGTTGAATAACTGAGTTATTATTACTAAATTTCTATCAAACTTAATCTGCGTCATTACACTTTGATGTTTCATCAGCATCGCAGCAGGTTGCTAATGCTTTGCGACACAGACTCACATGGCAGCCTTTCAAATCGATAAAATTAGAGTCCAGCTTCGTCGTAGATTGGGTGCCAGTAAATAGAGCCTTCTTAGTGAGTGACAGCTGGATGCCGTCTTATTTAAATCTCTGACGTCTGGAGTGTGGCGTTCCCCTGAAGATGTGGACGTAGCCAGGTTTGGGTTTTTTTTCCCAGACCCGAAGGATCGAGTGTAAGTGATCTGCTAAGGCTTTCAAGCGACGCACAATCACAGACGAAGATTTTCCCATCGTTGCTAAGTCGTACATTTTTGACACCAAAATCAGAGTTACTGTGGGATCATTTAAGAACAATAAAATCTGTGGATTCCTTTGAGTCTGAGGGGATAAAAACATCACTATGAAGCATTTTGGATGTAAGAGTGTTCAGATTTCAGTAGATGATGACGAGGGCTGGTGGACGAATCTGGCACCTCTGAGAGGTTCATGCTAAAGGGAGCAGTAAACTCTAAGGTCAAGGCTGCAGTCGCTTTTCCACTAAAGAATATTGCAGCTTTAATTTTCAAACATTTTGCCGACTGTAACCTTCGTTCTTGTGTTGCAGAGAGTTCGATGCCAGCTGTGGTTTCTGTGACTATAAAGATCGGTGCATGCATGTCGGGTCTGTCATCGTGTGTGGCCTCTTACTGTCCCCTGCTCTTATCTTGGTCTCCTCACGTTTGCTTCACACCTCTAATGACTCAGCATTTTTATTTGAGCATGGAAAGCGTGTATATTTTCACATTTTACCTTATATTTTGAATCTACCTGGGGTATTTCTTGTTGTTAAACTTGATTAGTGTTGCATGTATAACCTGCAATGTACTGTGAGAAAAAAGGGCCAGTTTTTACAATAACATTATTACAATAATGGTTTTTGCTCCCTTTTATAAATGGCAAACTTCCACTGCTGGTACTTGAACGTGTTCAGCTTCACTGTTTTTACAGCAGCATGCCAAAACACACACACCATCACACACTTTCTGATGCCAGTCTCCAGTTCCACCACATCCCAGAGGTGCTCCACCTTTCAGATTGAGATCTGGTGACTGTGGAAGCCACTTGAGTTCGGTGAACTGATTGTTATGTTCCAGAACCTGTTTGGCATGATTTTGTGTTTAGCTTCTGAGATCAGACAAGAGCAGGCGTGCTCAGGGTGGCCGAAGCAAGGCTAAAATGAAAGGAGGCAAATATAAGTTCACAACTGAAACAATGATGTAAAACACATTACGAGTGGCAGTGAAGAGTCACGGGAAGTCCTCCAGGAACCTGAACTTGGTGATGCACAACCAAGGAACGGTTCAATTCAGTTTCACTTAGGTGCCAAATAACAACAGTCACCTGAAGTTGCTTTATATTGTAAGGTTTAACAATGGAGAGGAAACCTCAAAAATCACACAAACCCCCTGTGAGCAGCACTTTGGCGACAGCAGGAAGGAAAAACTCCCTTTAAACAGGAAGAAACCTCGGGGAGGGGAGGGGGACACGGCACCTTCTTCCTGTAGTTACTTCTGTTGCTCCTGCCACAGAAACATCCAGCCAATAATAATAATGGCCTGCACATTATTTCTACTGACGCATTTTGCTTTTGCTTTGGATTTTGCTCTCTGTAATCACAAACTCATGATTCAGACCAGAGTGACACAACTACAGGTTTGAAAATGCTGGAAAATTATGACAAATTTAAAAATATTCATTTTAAATATTCAGTTCCAGCATTGTTTTAAGGAAGCAGAGTTTGTAGTGTGTTGTGCAGGAATGTGATGGTGGCCCTTTTAACAGCAGCAGTAGTAACGAGGTGAGCTAAGTCTGCACTCACCTTATCTTGTTTTCCAACCTTTCCCTGAGTGCTGTGTCTTATCTGCCACTTTCTCCCTGTCCCACCTCCTCTCCTTGGAAAGACCCTCTGTTTTGTTTGTCTGTTCTCTCCGTCATCCTGTAAAAGCTTTTCCTTTTTTAACTTTAGCGGCTCGCTATTCCTTTGGGAAGGAGGTTGCTTTGGTCACAGTGTAAACGGAGACAGATGTGTTGATGGTCATAAAGGAAGCGCGCTGTCCTGAGGGGCTGTGATTACATTAACCTCGTGTCTATTGAGTTAATCAGACACCGTGCTCACTCGGAGCTGTGCTTCAAAACCGTAAAGTGTGTAACTGCTGCCAGAGCGTGTAGCTGGTTCTTAAAGCAACTGGCTGTGTGCTGAGCAAACTCTGATGTCAAATGATCAAAGGTTAGAGCGCTAATCATGTTCAGATATTTAGAGCGTGGTGCTGTAGTTTTTGTGTTCATTAGCAACAGTCGGTCCTGTTTTGGTGTTTTTGTTTATCCGCAGCTGTTCCAGAAACATCCGCAGCTGTTTTCCAACCTTTCGATGGCTATTATTCATCCTCGGTTACAGAAACCAGATTCCACTGAGCTCATTAATCCATCTGAACAAGCATCCAGCTTTGATGTGCCTTTGTGCCAGACTCTCCTCTTAGGACGATGCTTAACTTCTAGATTGTTATAATGCAACCTGTATTGTCCTTTGAGTGTTTTTGGGGCGGGCTTAGTGAGCAGGTCCGACTGTGAAACCACATGCTTATTGGTGAATACTTGTTCGACAAGTCATTAGAAAACAAGCATGTTTTATAACATGGACTCTTCTTTTTGGCCAAAACCAAGACTTTTCAAAATGACATTTTATTCAGTGTGACCCAAGGTGACGGTCTAAGCAAATAAATAAAAGTTGTCCCATTGGCTTCTATAGGACAAAGATATCGCCATCATGTGGCCTTGAGATGAATGCAGCTCGCTCGACCATCGCTCCAACACATCAGACTGTCTTCTAGCCACCTCTATATTTGTGTTGACCCGTTCATTTATTTTTAAAAAGCCAGTTTAATTACTTTTATATGCTGCTAGCTTAAGCTATACCAATATGCCATGAATTATGAGTCGATTAATATTCTATAAGAGGGAGCTGAGCGTAAAAGCGAAGCTCTCAGTTTACCGGTCGATCTACGTCCCTACCCTCACCTATGGCCACGAGCTGTGGGTAGTGACCGAAAGAACGAGATCGCGGATACAAGCGGCAGACATGAGCTTCCTCCGAAGGGTGGCTGGCCTCTCCCTTAGAGATAGGGTGAGAAGTTCGGCCATCCGGGAGGGGCTCAGAGTAGAGCAGCTGCTGCTCCACATCGAAAGGAGCCAGCTGAGGTGGTTCGGGCATCTGACAAGGATGCCTCCTGGGCGCCTCCTGGGTGAGGTGTTCCAGGCATGTCCCACCGGGAGGAGGCCCCGGGGCAGACCCAGGACACGCTGGAGAGATTATATCTCTCGGCTGGCCTGGGAACGCCTTGGTATTCCCCCGGATAAGCTGGAGGAGGTGGATTGATAATATTCTGAAGTCTGTATCACAAAAAGTAGTTTCTAAAAAAAGTTCTTGTGAGAATGTGTCAGGCTCTCTCATGCTGTGTGTTAAATGTGGGGAAACCTGATTCTCCCCACGCTGCCCAGAACTGCTGTGTGAAAACACCTGTGCACCGTGGGAAATCTGCTCCACTTTCTTCTGCAGCTTTACTCAGAAACACTGGCGTTCGCAACCTCGCTGAAGTTCTCCTGGATGTATTTGTTTAACATTCTTGCGTCTTTCTCTTTTCTTCTTCTTTTTTCTTCTCTTTCAACAATGCAGCTGTAAAGCAGAAGCCGCTGCACGTTTTCTTTTCCACCTAATTGCTCGACGTGCAGTCGAGGGTGAGGTAATGGCTGATGTTAGTCCTGGGCTGAGGTGAATAAGGACACTGTTGTTCTCCACCGTCTCTGTCAGGTCGTATCGGCGTGTACTCGAACTGCTGTTGCCACAGCAACGAGATCCATGAGCACAGATTGTTTTTTGCAGCTTGAACTGCTATTGAAGTAAAAAAAGTGCACGTAACACCTGGGTGAGACTGGCACACTAGTGTGTGTGTGTGTGTGTGTGTGTGTGTGTGTGTTAAATGGAGAGAGTTAGGTAACCCTGTTCTTTGTAAGCATGCTGTGTGACTCGCTCTAAATCTCGTCTGTCATCCTCCTTTCCCAGGTGGTTAACACGCTCTGCTGTGCTCCCTTTTGAGCCGCCCCTCCTCCCTCCCCATCCTTTACTCTGCCTCTTCCAACATGTCCTCTCAAGACACTGCCATCAAGGGGTCTCGACCTGTGACCCCTCCACTGCCTTCTCCAAGATCCCCACGGTCTCCAGGTATATGCATAAATACACACACACAACACCCTCTCATGTGTCACCTGACATTGAAGATTTTGCTCACTTTCAGAGCAAAATCTATCAACATCCTACAATGTGAACGGCACATCAGCACTTTAACGAGATTAGCCTCGTCCATTTTGATGAAATTTGATCGCAGAAACTCTAAATGGAACTCAGCAGTTTGTATGGCGCCCACGTGCTTGCCTGACAACATGGGGCAAGCTCCTAATGAGATAACAGATGATGTCAGGGCTGATTGCTTCCCCAAACTGGACCAGAGCATCACTGAGCTCCTGGACAGTCTGAGGTTCGACCTGTTGGTGTCAGACGAACCCAAGCTTGATGTCCCAGAGGTGTTCTGGTAGACTTGGGTCAGGTGAGCGTGGGGCCAGTCAACAAGATGAGCAAGGGAAAATCTCATTGGCCTCCACCTGTTAAACCATTGTTTCAGAAGTGTGTATTAGAGGGGTGATTGGTACAGAGTCCACATTCAAAGTCTGCAGAGAAAACAAAGACACTGATGGACCATTTCCATATGCATGTGCCAAGTAAGTGCGCTGTCAGAGTAAGCTGTCCCAATGTCATGGCCACGTGTTAACAGGTGTCTGCTCTCCAACTGATCTATAATCATTTCTTCTGTATTAATGTGCAAGTGATGCTCAGTTGGTGGGCCTGTGCAGTCCTGCTTCATGGAAATATCAGTTGGCTGTGAGCAAATTAAGCTTCATCAGAAAAAACTAGCACAGTCATTTACATACAGAGTGAAGAAGCAAGGTGAGCTAACACAAATAAGCAGGAATTTAGGAACCGCGCACTGTTAGAGCGCTCGCTATAAACAGATCAAAGTACGAACAGCATGTGTTGCACTGATGTGAACCTACTGTGCCAGTTAACCCAGTTCTGTTAATATTATAGTGGTGGTGGGATGGTTCACTCATAATTAAACGTCCCTGATGCTGTGAGATGTTTAATGTGACAGACTCATGGTGTGAGGGCGTCGAGCTCACGCTGAGGTGGTTCACAGGCACGGGGGAGCATTAGCGTCTCTGTCCGAGGCCACGGGTCATGTATTTGCACATGCATTACAGGCACAGTCCCTGCTCTAACCGCTCGCCATGCTGTCGCGTGAAATTTGTTGCAATGTAACACACTGAGGACTTTTTCCCCCCACTTCAGAATCTCTGCACCTCCCGGCCTGCAGACACAGAGATCGCTCGCCTTCCCCTATGAGAGGCTACCTCATCCCCAGCCCTCTGCCCACACGCAGAAACAGGACCTGCTCAGCGTGAGGACACACACACACACACATCTGTAGACGTTAACGAGAGGAAACAAATTCACAAGCCAATGAAGCGAGTGTAATATTCGCTGCTATGAGGCTTGCTGTCGTTGCTGGTCAATAATCTCGTGCTGGACGCTGCACGGTGATCAGTTTGTTAATCAGACTGTCAGATTAGCATGTTCAGTGAGACCTTCTGTGTCTAACCACAATGAAACACCCACAGCTTTCATCGTTCGTGTCCTGGAATTGCCTCTTCGCAATAATTCATTGTTACCACGTCATGCAGCATTCAAGCAGCATGTGTAAATGATTAGTATGTGCTGATGCAGACAAACAGCAGTGCATGCCAGCACAGTGTGTCACAGTTTGTCAGCTGCTCTTCAGAAGACTCGCTTTAAACATGAACTTTCAAACAATGAGCACATGCATTACTCTGTATTTTATGTATTAGCACATGTGTTTCTTTCACTCTTGGCTCTGTATGATGTAAACAAGAGTTTGTATTCTGTGAATCGTGCAAAGCTTCTCTGGTTGTTGAAGAGCATAATAAGACCTGCTTCAAAGTAAATGTTTTTAAAAGCTCACTCGGGGCCAGCCCGGCGCTGTGTGCAGGTTGCCCTGCAGCAGTCCTGACTCGCAGGATTGGATCTGCTGGTTAGCAGCCAACGACCTTTCAAAATAAAGTGCTTATTTCATATATGGCGGGTCTTACGAGGGATCTGCCTCTGCTGGTTCATCAGTCTGCTCTGTGCTCACGTCTCCCATCTCTCTGTAATGTGCTTCCTGTTTAGGACGGCTCGTGCATCGGAGGGACCCGTGTTTACTGGCATGTGTAAATATTTCTCGCGCTCCAAAGGCCATGGATTTATCACGCCATCGGACGGGGGCGCTGACATCTTTGTCCATATCTCAGAGTAAGTGTGTGTGTGTGCTTTGTGGATTAATGTGTTCGTGGTCAGGTCGGCGTGGGGAAGCACCTGTGGTGTGGAGAGTGCCTCACACCGTCGTTCTGTGGGTGAAAGGTCAGGATGTGTTTATTGCTCTGTCACTGATGAGGTGTGTGTAGCTTGATGTTAAAGTTTGTCAGCTCTCTGTAGGAGTGAAAGGAAACGCACAGCAAGGCGACGCAGAGTGCAGGATATCTGATGACCTTCACTGCGGTGCCTTTGTTATCACCCACAGGCCTGAAGCACAGACGTTAGCGGCGCGCACGAACACTCGAACACCTACGTTCACACAAACCGCTCATTGGATACTTTTTAAGCACAAAACAATAAAATAGTTCACGAAGCCTTTGAGTGACTTTTCCACGTGTTTGTCGAACATAACAGGACCAGGCTCGTCCTCAGCAACAAGGCAACACAACAACACAGCCTAGTGATGTTTATTGATATAACCTCGTGCCCTCCTCTGGCCTTTTTCTTTTTTTGATGTAGAGATCTGTTAAAGCTTCCCCCTTTGCTCTGCCATCTGTACTCTTAATGCGTTTTGCACCCTTTGACACAAATGCACAAAATCTGAACTCATGCATCTTTTTTTCCCCTTAATCAACTTGAGCTCTTATCAGAATCGAATCGATCGTTTTCTGGATTGAACGTGATTTTTAGATGCAGACTTGATTCATTAGCCTTCTCTGGTCCTTCAGGTCATAAATCCATTCTTTCTTTTTTAAGAATGAACCAAACTGACTCGGCCGGTCCTAAAGGCGTTGCTATCCCACTCAAAGGTTTGTTTTGGTTTGTCAGACTTTGTGCAGGCGTCTCTATGGGCCTCATAGTAATAAAACATTTCAAATGTATGGTTGTGTTATGAGTCGGGGTGTTGAAGTGCAGATTCTCAGCTGTAAGTAAAGGAGCTGGTGAAGCTGTTGCATAAATTGTTGAGAAATTGGGGCCATTTTTAAACACGCTCGCCTGCTAAAGTTGTTTCGTGCATATTGGAGGATAAGTTTTGTTATTTCTTCATAAATAAATCAGCTGAAAGATCGTTTCAAGTGTGGGACTTCTTCTGCAAACTCAAAGCACAGGGTCCAAGGAGCTTTCAGTGCAAACCTGTAAGTGTGCAGGAGTGAGAAGGAGTTTTGGGCCCCATCAGCACTTTGGTAGGTTGTGAGGTAAAGAACTACTCCAGCACTTCTTGCCAAGCTGCTAAGTTTGGCCTTAACATCCATGAAAGTGCGGGATGATTGTCAAATCCTTTTTGAGGTAAAGAAAGCCATGTGAAGAAGACTGTCCAGGAAAAATCTATATTATTATTTACCAGTGACAAACCAGTACTCAGCATGAAGTGGGAAGAAGTTAGTGAAGCTGAGACGCCGACCAGAGGGCAGCAGGTTAAACAGGTGGTGAGTGGCGTGCAAGAGGTCACCTGTGATGGGCCTGGTTTTCCTGCGACAGGAGGATCTGGCGAAGGTGGGGGGTGTCAATCAGACTTGTTAAAGCAGCCAACATGTTTGGCCGCTGCAGTATTTGGTCAAATAAAACTAAGATGAGCTACCAGTAGGACAGTAATTAAAAACAGAAAAGCTCACACAGTGGAGACGATGTAGTGTGTTGCATTCCTGCAAAATCTGACAAATAATCCTTTTATTGATCATGTCAGTGTGTCTTTGTGGTCTCTGTGTGTTCAGCGTTGAACTGTCTGCACTTTGAGCCCACACATCATATCTAAACAGTGTTTGTCACAAAAATATCCAGATTTGTGATGTTTGATGCTGCTGGGTTTCTTGAATAATTAGCTGAGCGAGGAGTCGTTCGCATAGACGGATATGAAAACGAAACCACACGAGAAATCATGGCTCGAGAATCCCGTTCATTAACTTTCACTAAAATCTACAGAGAAAGCCGGAGAGCTGTTATAATAATGTTTCTTATTATTGTTCATGTCCTCTTCAACAGGAAGTGTCTCATCGTCTGGTGTATCGTGTGTTTTTGAATCAGAGAGGTATGCCTTTTTAGGCTCTCCTCTCCTTTGCTCTGTGGCTAACGTAGTAGAACATGAGAGGCACAAACTGGGTGTCAAATGGCCACTTGAGAGGCAGAGTGATCGTTTGTCTCTACAGCTGAAGTCCTTCTACCTAACAAACCGGTGCTGATGAGACTGAGCTGTGTGACTGGTTCTGTCTCCCCTGAATCAGCAGTGAGCACCAAACTGTATTTGATTCCATCTACAGCTCATCCAGCACTCGGGAGGCTGAAGCAGGACAAGAGTTCAGCGTGTCTGTAAAATCCAGCTGGGTTTGAACCCCTCTGTCTCTGTCTCCTCAGCATCGAGGGCGAGTATGTGCCGGTGGAAGGCGATGAAGTGAGCTACAAGGTTTGCTGCATCCCTCCTAAACTCGAGAAGATCCAGGCAGTGGAGGTGACCATCACCCATCTCAAACCTGGGACCAAACACGAAACCTGGTCGGGGCGCACCGTCGACAGCTGAACACCTGAGCCGCGCTGGTGGGAGGGAAGAGGAGTGGGTGGAGTCAGCATGATTGGGGGGGCGGGGTGGAAGAATGAAGTGGGGGGGGGATAAAAACCTGGGAGTGGTGGAGGAGCCAGAGGTGGTGCATACTGTTGGTTTGTGAATAGAGGGGGGACTTCACCTTAGGTTAGACTTTTAGATCCCTGCTTAAAAAAATGATAGTGAGATGTTTGAAAAAAGAGTTTTCACAGATTTTAGTTTGGAGGAGCTGAACCGGCCGTGGCTGCTCCCCGTGGACCCCGCGCCATGGGGTTATTCTACAAACTCCACTGAGGCGTACTCCTCTGCTTGTGCCTGCTTCTATCATGTGTGTTTGACATGTTTGGATGGCTCAACAAGTGAATTAAAGAACTTTCACCTGGTACGACTGAGTTCCTCATTTTGTTTTTATGTTTCCGCTGTGTGATGGGAAGGGTTTTGTTTTTGATCTTTGAGTTTCAGCTCTGTGTGTGTTGAGTTGCATTAAGATCAGGAGTTTTATAACCTCTTGACTGTTTCTGGCAACAGTTTTGTGGGACCTTGACTGTTAGCTTGGAAACCAGAGGAATAAACAAACATGCCTGTATAGCCTGCACAGCCACTCAGTGGACAGTTGTTAGCTTCTCAGTCACACTGATAGTTTTCTGTCTTGTACAAAGCAAAGCTAGTAGAAGAAAACAGTTTACTTGTATCTTCTGACCCAGGAGGACGACTGCAGACTCATGGACTGCTGATAAAAGCTGCCAAAGCCACATCAGACTACTTGGACAGTCTCTTGTGTGTGGTTCATGCTTCAGTCTGGCATCAGCAGGTGTTCTCCTGTCAGTATGCTGCAAATAAGGAAGCCATGAACATTAATAGGCTGATTGTAACTTGTAAGGTGTCTGTGATACTAAATGAAGACACTAGTCTCATTTATCACGACCGCAGGATTACGAGTAAATGTTGAATCCAGTTCTTTGCCTCGGGAGGAACGACTTACATGTGACGAGACTTTCAGGAAATGCTGGATTGCTGACCTTTAACATAACCCACCTGCCTCCAGCTCACCCTCACCCTGGCCTCCTTCACATGAACCTCCTCTGAGGGCTACATGTATAAAACATATATAAACAATAACATGATCAGTGTGAAACATCACAGATTCAGTGGGCTGTTAGAAACTAGACACTTATTCAGGTTTAATAAAATGAGAAGTATCAGAAACTTTGAAAGTTAACTGCAGTAAAAACGTGATGCTTCTCCCAAGAACAGCAGGACTCATAAGTTTAGTGCACACGTATAGTTAAAGTACTATATATGGGCTTATAGTTAAACAGAACTCACTCACTGTGGTCAATACAAGGTTGGATAGAACAACAAACAAACCTAAAATGCAAAATGAGTGTGCGATGGCATGAAATGCTAAATTCACGTGTGACTAGAGGACAAATTAGGGTGAAACTAAGTGTGAGTAGGAGTGAATCTACTCGCTTTTAAAAAGTGATGCACTTGCTGACAGGTTACTATCATCAGAAAAAGGCTGCTGCCCTCCTCTGGCAGCATTTATCCATTACAGCCATCCACCGCTGACGATAACGGCGTGGAAGTGGATTCCTGCAGGTGCCATCGTGCACGGAGCTGGAGCAAGAACCTGCTGGGTTTTCATGTGTGTTGTCCTTTACAGGGACCTTACTGATGGTTGGATTCTCTGCATATTGAGAAACATCAGTGACAATGTGTGATAACTTTATCAGGTAGCAATAAGCATGTTTGGGTGTTTTCTGATTTAACCCTCTGGGCTCTGGCCTTGGTGGCCACTTCACTTTTTTCAACCATTTTCGTTCTCTTAATGGAATGAAACTTCCCAAATGTGTGTATTTTTTTTCAGATTTTTTAATTTTCAACATCAGCTCCTTAATAATGTCAATAATATTCACTATACACCAAATTGTTCCTCTTGGTTCTATCGTGGCCATTTTGGCCAATTGAAACCCATCATAACCACCTTTTTGATTCCTTGTTACTGACAGTACTATATCCTGCGATTTAGGTAAATTTGCTTTCATTCTAAACTCAACACATGAAAATTGTAGTTTTTAATGTTTTTTACCAAATTACATCATTTACCCATTTTTGGCCAAACAAGCGATTTCATGTAATATTCCTTGTTTCTAGTAGCAGCTTTTGATGGCCTACCACACTCCAATGGACCAAAATAATGAAACAATTTTGACATAGGTTTGATCTTAAGGATCTAATAGTTTGTTTTTGTGCATGACATTGCAGCACAAACATGTATTTGCAAGATAGACTGGAATAAATAATGACGCATCAAACATTACATAGGCTGCAGTGAGTTTCTGTGGATGCAGGTTGTTGAGCTTCCCAGTCAAACTCAGCTTTGAAGCACATGTTAAAAGCACTTTTACTCTTGTATTTATCATAAAAAGACACCATACCCAAAATATTAACTCTAGAAACAAAAACAAAACAACCCCAATCAAAGATAAGATAAGACTTTATTGATCCCACAGCGGGGAAATTTTTTTGCGTCACCTCAGCTCAGGTACAGATATCAGAAGGAAATACAAAAATACAAATAAGTACAATCGATGAAAAAAAGTAAGATAATACACTATATACAATGGTAGCATACACAGTATGTGATTATGGATATGGACATAAACTATATAGCTTGACATAGCTATTGTACCACTACTATTCCTATTTATAGACATGTATACACTAAATCTACAGGGAGTGCAGAATTATTAGGCAAATGAGTATTTTGTCCACATCATCCTCTTCATGCATGTTGTCTTACTCCAAGCTGTATAGGCTCGAAAGCCTACTACCAATTAAGCATATTAGGTGATGTGCATCTCTGTAATGAGAAGGGGTGTGGTCTAATGACATCAACACCCTATATCAGGTGTGCATAATTATTAGGCAACGTCCTTTCCTTTGGCAAAATGGGTCAAAAGAAGGACTTGACAGGCTCAGAAAAGTCAAAAATAGTGAGATATCTTGCAGAGGGATGCAGCAGTCTCAAAATTGCAAAGCTTCTGAAGCGTGATCATCGAACAATCAAGCGTTTCATTCAAAATAGTCAACAGGGTCGCAAGAAGCGTGTGGAAAAACCAAGGCGCAAAATAACTGCCCACGAACTGAGAAAAGTCAAGCGTGCAGCTGCCAAGATGCCACTTGCCACCAGTTTGGCCATATTTCAGAGCTGCAACATCACTGGAGTGCCCAAAAGCACAAGGTGTGCAATACTCAGAGACATGGCCAAGGTAAGAAAGGCTGAAAGACGAGCACCACTGAACAAGACACACAAGCTGAAACGTCAAGACTGGGCCAAGAAATATCTCAAGACTGGTTTTTCTAAGGTTTTATGGACTGATGAAATGAGAGTGAGTCTTGATGGGCCAGATGGATGGGCCCGTGGCTGGATTGGTAAAGGGCAGAGAGCTCCAGTCCCACTCAGACGCCAGCAAGGTGGAGGTGGAGTACTGGTTTGGGCTGGTATCATCAAAGATGAGCTTGTGGGGCCTTTTCGGGTTGAGGATGGAGTCAAGCTCAACTCCCAGTCCTACTGCCAGTTTCTGGAAGACACCTTCTTCAAGCAGTGGTACAGGAAGAAGTCTGCATCCTTCAAGAAAAACATGATTTTCATGCAGGACAATGCTCCATCACACGCGTCCAAGTACTCCACAGCGTGGCTGCAAGAAAGGGCATAAAAGAAGAAAAACTAATGACATGTTACTTATAAGAGTCCACTATCTCAATGTCTTTCCCTTGGATGTTCACCGGTGTTGCAGGGGGTGACTTCCTCCTGAAGTCTATGATCATCTCCTTTGTCTTGCCGGCGTTGATTTGGAGTACGTTGGTCTCACACCAGCCAACAAAGTCACTGATGACCCGCCTGTATTCCTGATCATTCCCGTCTGATACGCATCCAATGATGGCTGTATCATCTGAGAACTTCTGTAGATGGCAATCGTCCAAATTATAACAGAAGTCTGAAGTGTAAAGGCTGAACAGGAAAGGTGAGAGAACCGTGCCCTGTGGTGCCCCCGTGCTGCAGATTACCACCTCAGACACACAGTCATGGAGCCTCACATACTGTGGTCTGTTGGTAAGGTAGTCGACGGTCCATGCAGTCAGCTGTGTGCCTACTCCGGCTCCCTCCAGCTTCCCTCTCAGTAGTGCGGGTTGGATGGTGTTGAAAGCACTGGAGAAGTCAAAAAACATGATCCTCACAGTGCTCCCCGCCTGCTCTAGGTGAGAGAGGGATCGGTGTACCAGGTAGATGACAGCGTCATCCACCCCAATTCCAGAACGGTAGGCAAACTGCAGGGGGTCCATCACTGAGCCCACCAGTGGCCGAAGGTGGTGCAGGATGAGCCTTTCCATGGTCTTCATCAGATGAGAAGTCAAAGCAACAGGCCTGAAGTGGTTGGGCTCCTGGGGTGTGCGATTTTTGGCACCGGAACCACACAGGAAGTCTTCCACAGTTCAGGAACCCTCTCCAGGCTCAGGCTCAGGTTGAAGATGTACAGGGCCACACTTCCAATCACAGGACATTTTGCAGAGTTCAAACCTGCAGCTGCAGCGCAAACAACAACAAACACTGTAAACGTGTCCTGGAGTTTCTGCAGGTGCAGACAGAGCTACTGCTGTAAGTAAGCCTAACAGCTTCCAGATCATTTATTCTGGCTGTATGGCAAGAAGGTCATCACTGCTTCAAGCACGGTCTGTATGATCTGGTCAGAGAGCAAGGACAGCAGCAGTCCTCTGCCCTTGAAGAAAAGACATCTGCCCAAGATGAAGAAACTTCCTCTCCAGAAGATGAGGGGCCAATCTCCAAAGAGGCTGACAGCATCACCACTGATGAAGAGTACTAGCCAGTGCCTGAATCCTCTTCTTTGGGGGAGGGTTGGGGTTGGGGGGCATGGAGGTGGAGGCCGAGCAGCTGATGGAAAAGAACATAGGAGCATTTTCTGAGACCGAGGAGCCGGTGACTGAGTGGATCCCTCATGAAAGGAAAACCATGTGGGTCCCACCACTGAAGAGAGACTGCTCTACAATCCAGTACCCACTGGTTTCAAACCAGGGCTCAGCCTGTATGCAGTTTTCTGCATTAGCAGCCTGAGATCTGCTTTTATAACAAAGGAGATCTTTTAGCTGCTGTGCACCTTACAAACCTGCACGGGAGGCCAAGGTGTGAGGACTGGAGGATTATAGATGAAGTGGAGATGTGAGCCTAAACCACAATAAAGCAATACATAGCATGTTGGATGACAACACTGGAAGTTCTCAGGAAGTAAAGAAGGCATGGGGTTCAGACTCCAACTGACGGAGGAGCTCCGAGGACAACGTCTTTCCTTCGGTCACCTTGGCAGAAGAACTCCTCAGATGAAAACTGGTACAGAGGAAACAACCCAGAGCTTCCTCCCCAGCTCCTCCAGATGCAACAGAGGAAGATTTTGTTGTCTGTCTTTGGCTTCACCAAAACTACCACGACAATATCCCACATGCCAAAGCAATGGAGGAATGTGCTTCTTTTGACAGCAACACACAAGGAACCAGCAGTCAGTGACGGGGAATAAAGGATGCGTGAAAGCAAGAAGCAGTCCTGGACTACAATACGCACAAATACAGCTTGGATAACTTAGAGGATGTTGGCACCTCGAGCTGTTGAAGGAAAACTAACTGATGGCTGATGGCTCTTTTCTCCAATCTCCTGGATGTCTTGGGATACGATGTCTTTGTCCTGCCGGCAGTGTTGGGAAGGTTACTTTTAAAATGTATTCCATTACAGAATACATGCCCCAAAATGTATTCTGTAACGTATTCCGTTACGTTACTCAATGACAGTAACGTATTCTGAATACTTTAGATTACTTAATATATTATCATGCTTTTTACAACTACATGAATGTACTATTGCTGTGTGATTTATTACTATTACTGAAGGTCCGCGGCTCCGAACTGTAGTAAAGGGACCTCTGACTAATACTTCGGGTTCATGTCGGGCTCGTAGCAGAAAAATAGCTTTACTTTGTTGTGTGGGTCAACTCTGCTAGCAAGAGACAGAGAGAGGCGTCGAAAGGCTGCTCCAACAGAACTTATTGTTTCGGAGGAAAACACGAACACGGTGTACAGTCGAGTCTAAATAGCTTACTTACAACTGGGCTCGTCAGGCACTCTTCTTGGCTGCAGTGGTTATTATTATATTTACATGCTGCTCGATGACAGCTCGTACTTTTCTCCTTTTTCTCCCTCCGTCGCTCACAGACACATAACGGGTATGGTAGTTCATTCTCCCTGCAGCGCGGACTACACTGCCCATGAGGCTACATTCTTTAGCGCTATGCCTGTAACACTCTGCCTAGTGCATTCATATGAAATCACAGCCGTTTATTTTCCAACAGAAACACACTGCCGCTAACCAAACTGCTCGGCATAGCTTAGCACAACAACAACAAAAAGAGCTCTCTCACCCAGGAAACACACAGCAGAGAGCGCGCGTAGCTGTCAAACCAAACCCAAACAGTCCTGACCCGCCACAATATGAAACAGGAAAATACCGCAGTGTAATCCATTTATTTCAACAAAGTAACTGTATTCTAAATACCACCATTTTAAACGGTAACTGTAACGGAATACAGTTACTCATATTTTGTATTTTAAATACGTAACGGTGGTACATGTATTCCGTTACTCCCCAACACTGCCTGCCGGAAACAACTTCACTGAAGTGGGGGAGTAATCTACAACCTACAAATGAAGAGTGATGCTGGGAGAGCTGGGACACATGCTGGTGACCTCAACAACTGCAAGACACACTTGTCCCTGATTCTCAGCCACTTCTGCCATTGATCTCAAGATACAGTCTGACCCAGAGTGTGACCCAGAGTGTGACCCAGAGTGTGACCCACACCCCACCAACAAAATGAGAAGAAGGTGCAAAAAGGCACACCTCCAGGATTGGAACAGCAGCCCCTCAGGTGTAGAAAGTGTGCCTACAAAAACCACTCTAATGTGGTTAGTACATCACACAGAAGCACACACTGGAATATAAATTTTGATCATTTTATTGGGTCATTTGGTCATTAAATTGCTTTTCTGCCCACTAACACACCATGTGTGATATTCTTTTTAGCCATTCACCCCCCCACCAAAGAAAAAATGTAACAAAAACAAAAAAACAAAGTAAAAATAAATCATTGTTACTGTTACTGACCTGCAATGATGACAAAAGGAAATATTAGGTTTCATCATTTGTATGCTAATGGTGCTAATTTAAAAAATCAAGTCAATGAAAGTAGAAAAATGTTTTAATATGAATTTTATAGCATTTTGTAAACATAAACAGGGGGTGGCCATTTTTGGCCACGAACAAGCTGAGAGGGAGTTTTTTTGTTTTTCTGTCACTGCACAAAAAAACAAAGATGCATAAAACTTATTGATACTTTTAATTATTGCTACGCATCTAACCTCCATCATGGTTACAAAATAAATCAGTTTGCATGTATTATTTAGAAAAAAATTGTGATTTTATGCTTTTATCCCTATTTAAATCATTAAAATTATGTGATTTAACTGGTATTTAAGGGGTTAAAATTCTGGATTTGATTGAAATTTTGGTCTTGATGAACAGCACTGATGCTAATCTAAAAAAACAAGTCAAAAAATTGGAATTTTTTCTTAATACATATGAATTTTATCATAAGTAATATGATACAAACATATGTTTAACAATTATATAAAATTGCGAGATTTGAGGTTGTCTTCCAGCTAGTGCAGTGGACAAACAAACTGGTGTTTAAAGGGTTAAAAATTTAAAAAGTAATAATTATTTTATGTTCATGAAAAGAACTAAAGTTACTTAAAAGCTTTGTGTAGAAAAAATGGCAAAAAAACATGAAAATAATCAAAATTACAGACCTAATGTGTTGGTGGCCACTTTTGGCCACGAACAAGCTGAAAGGTTGTGATTTTGAACAAACCCAGAGGGTTAATAAAGTCAAGTTCAGGTTATCATCTATGAATATTTACAACGATGCAGCTCCTTGTGACCACTTGTATATGGTGAACTCTCTTGTTAAAGGATCACAGCATCAGCAAACGTGTGCTTTTAACAGCTTTCTACAAAGCTGTTTCCTTTACAAGGAAAGATCTTGTGGATTTAAATATTCTGAGGACTTTTATTCACTTGTATTTAACAAAAGATTGTGTTTTATTGAACTCACAGTTCAGAATAATCCTTGTTTATGTGAAAGTGGGTCGTGGTACGGCCTCTCAGTTCTGCCTGAAACAAGTGTCTCTCCCTTCGTCTTTATTCTGACTGCTTCCTGCTTGTCAACAGAAAGCTTTAAACAGCAGGTAGGCTGTGGTGCTGCTCGCATTCATTTGAAACGTAATTTTGTGGTATTTAAGCTATGTGGATATTTTCAATTAACACTGTTTATTTGACTGCAGTTGAGAGATATGGCATGCTTTTTACTCCACAGTGACAGTTATAGTAACCACCTGTTTTTATCAGATTTTTATTATTTTACACTTTATAAGTTGTTTAAATAAAAAAAATCATTTCCATCACCTTATAGAACAAAGCACTGGCTGACATATGCTCCCTTCCTGAGACTTGCCTTATGTATAAAAGTATATCAAAAGTATTGTAAACACAGCAGAAAAACAAAAATGAAAGTGATGTAAATGAAAATACACCCATAACAGCATCACTGGAAAAAATGTAAAAATACAGTAAATTAAAGCTATAAAGGTAAATGAAAGTATAGAATTACAATGATGTTAGTAAAAAAGTTCTGTATGTACTGTAAGGTATTGAAAATGCAATAACCTGTCAATAAAAAGCAGTAAAATCACAGTAAAAGTACAGTAAATGAGTGCAAACAGCTGCTGCAGCGGTGGCGTCACTGCACCTTGCGTTTGGCAGTGACAGCTTCTGCCAGCAGAGGTCGCTGGAGCTCTACTGTATCTGGTGAGGAGCTCTCGCTGATCGGTTTCTACCGAGCAGCTCGTAAAAGTCATCCAACCACAGAGACACAAAAACAACAACCAAAAAAAGCAGCTAACCAGCGGGGGCCGGCAGGACCCGCTTTATATAAGATCAGGTAGTTGCTGCTTGTTTAACTGAATGAATTCAACCACACCTGATGAACGACGACCGAGGAGGGAGAAGGCTGTGTGTGTGGACGGAGTGTGAACAGATAAAGGTGTGAACGAGCAGGAAACGGGTTGGGGGAGAAGATGAGGAAGAGGAGTAGGGGTGAGGAGGAAACAGAGAGAGAGAGGGGGACGGAGGAAAACAGATGATGTGAGGGGGGAGGAGAAGGAGGAGCAGAGAGGAGGCAGGCACTCAGTCTGCTTTGCTTCGCAGGAGGAATCGGCAGCAACAGAAGGACAATGGACAGCGTTCACCGCGGGTCCTAACGAGCACCGGGCAGCTTCATCAAGCTGGAATACAAGGTATGGCTGAAGGTTAGCACACGGGTCAGTTCGTGCCGTCGTTTTACCCGCGTTAAAAAAGCTGCCGTGTGTCTGCGGGAGAGGAGAGAGGCTGCAGGAAGGAAGCGACGCGGCGCAGCAGACGCTGAGCGGGGCCTGCGTACCGGCTGCCTCTGGGTCCTGGAACCGGCCGGTGAAACCGTCCGATACCGCCACAGCTCTGCGCCTTCATCGTATCAACCGGGTAATATCGGCCGCGCTGAAACACAGCAGGGAAAGACACGCGGGAACACCCTATTCCACTGCTCACGCTTATCCTTAGAGAACGCCACCCCAAAGTCCTTTACAAAAACGTGAAATTTTGCACTCGACTCACTGCCAGCAGGGCTACCCACCCTTTTATCAGACCATTTGAAACTTCTCCGGGTTCCTCGGGGTACTCTGTCGGATTCGGCGCCAGACTCATTAGTCAAACCTTTTTATTTCAAATTAAAACCAATGATAACGTGCGAGCATAGTGCTACAGCGTATTGGTATTGACGTGCAGTGAGCGGGACCACGGCACGCGACCCGCAAACAATAGTTGACATTAGTGTGAGATAAACGCTGCTGTGTGTGCTGCTCGGACGCCGATTTGTTGAAAAGTGTGCGCTTACTAACAGTACGTATTCAGTCTTATTTGGCGATTGACGTGTTTGCTAGAAAAGAAGCGGCACAAAAAAGGAGCCGTTTTCGGATAGGAGTTTGGTGCGTGGAGCATATGTCGCTATGCCAACAAAGCCTCTCTCGAGCTTGTGGCAGCAGCAGCAGGAGGAGCACGCAGGCAGACTGTCTGCCAGAATGAACCTTTGCACTAGCCGAGGCCCGATGCAGCGATTGTCGTGTGAATAGATGGAGTCATTGTGTTTACCATAATGTGCCTTCTGTTGGACACTGTGCGTGACGCACGCAGGGCATAAGGACTTTAATGCTCGCGTCTGAACGGCCAGTGTATTATCGTGCCAGTTTCAAGCATTATGTAGCTGAGCTACTGCAGAGACTGTGACACAGACAGATGTGAGCGGTTACAGTGAACTGAGCACTCCTCGGTTTTACAGTATATCATGAGACAAGGTCACTTGTGCCATACTAACCACCCAAACACTTAGAAAAACACAGGGAAGGCTGTGCGTGTGATGTAGCCTGTATTTAGTGATGGGAGGAGGCGTTCAGGGACCTCCCATAAATAGATTACAAGTCAATAGATGCTTGCCTCCATATGCTTAGGGTGACTGGTGCAGGCAGTGGTTCTGGTGCATTGTTTTTATTTTTTGGATCGTATTGCCGTACTTGATACTGAGTGTGTGTGTGTCTGTGGGTGGAGGATGGGAGCCCTGTCTGTGAGTACAGGTGAAAGCAATATCCTGTTATCTAGTTAGAGATTAGAGAAGTCAGTAAGAGCTGAGGCAAATCAGTGACCCTGATGTTTCGAGAGTGAGACCAACTGGTTATAATAAACTGAAAAGGACGCTGCTGCGTGTGAAACCATGTGTGTTATTGAACAGGAAACCTGGAGCCCAGCTGGTAGTTAGACTCTACACTGAATGGCAGGAAGCAACCCCAAACCGCGAGGGATGAGAGGCAGGCAGGAGGCGGATTGAGTTGTTCTTCGAAAGAGGTGCTTCACCATACTTGTGCTGGATTTAGTTACGTTTCTTTTAACTGGTGGCTACACACCAACGAATGAAGAGGCGCAAAGGCCCGCCCACGTCACGGTGGAGACTGGAGTTGGAGTCTGTTTGCTGGTGTTGTGCGTTTTGGGGGTTTATGTGTGTTTGTCATGCTGTTTGTCAATCAGAGCGGGAGCTTCATTTGAACAATATCAGGAAACGAGCCAAGAACTATAAAAGCTGTGTGTGTGTGTGTGTGTGTGTGTGTGTGTGTGTGTGTGTGTGTGTGTGTGTGTGTGTGTGTGTGTGTGTGTGTGTGTGAGAGAAAGTTATTGGCTTTACATTCAATTTGCTCACTTGACTTCACATGATCTGTATGTGAGAATTGAGTATTTAGCAAGACAGTGTCACAAGACCGTTGTTGCAGTGTGTGTGTGTCTGCCCCCCCACCCCACCCCCCATGGCCGGCAGTGCCATCTGGAGTAAGTGTGAGGCCAGACTGTACTATAAACACTGCTTCTTATTACCCAGACTGCCTTTCAGCTATGTTTACAAGTAGAATTCATCATTGTTTTGTCTGATAATTTCTTTTTAATTACTGGTTTTCTCCATAAAAGGACTTCCTGCAGGCAAAGATGGCAAAAGTTCAGACATGTGACCCTTACGCTAGCATCCAAAGATATTCAGATTGCCCTCGTGTCTGAGTAAGAAATCATTATGTCCTCATAGGAGGCGTCGAAAAGGTACATATTGACATCACTGGATAACACTTGAGCCAGTCCATAATACTGTTTGTTTGCCAGGTAACTACACACTACTTACATTTACTTACAATGTAAATTTATCTTCTACCTGAAGTGATGCAATACTTAAAACTGATCGTGCATCACTTATAACTAGTTGCACATTACTTAAAATTACTTACAGTTTAATTATTTGTTCTTTCCTGTAAAAACATGACCTTATTCTAGTGTGTCTACCTTAAAATGTTTGTAGGCAATTATAATGATTTCAAAATAAATGCATTGAGATTCCACGTAGCTACAGCCGTGGGCGGTAATATAAAGTGTTGCCTTTGTTTAGTTTAATTAGTTTCACATCTCTAAAAATGGTTTCATCTCCATCGACATCCTGTTTGTTAGCACCGTCACGGAAAGCTAAACGGTTACATGATCCAACCTGCTCGGGGTTCCTTTAGCAACGATGCATGTTGCTGCAAAGCATTTGTAAGTAGCTGCAAGTGGGAATGAGAGGAGTTTTATGTGCAACCGCAAACGCTGGAACGTCAAACATGCACCATGAATCTCAGTCAGTATCTCAGGCTTCTGCAAACATTCTGTTTCAACCATTTTTCCTACCTTTGGGCCTCTGTGATGTCAGCTACTCCAGCTATTCCTAATACGTCATCTTAGGCTCACAGCTTTGGTTGTGAGCACAGAGGTCAAGCCAATCCAGACCTTCTGTTTATGAGGCGCAGCCAATCAGAATGAAGCTGTCTTAGAACAACTTGCTAAAAAGCTATTCCAGAAGTTCCAGCAATAAAAACATGGAGATGGAAATGTTTAAACCTTAAGCACAAGCCACTGAGGAACATTCATTTTCATTAAGTTCTAGTTTATCATGCAACAAAGGAAAACATCTGCTAGTTCTTGTTACTGAGCTGTATAGATTTCTTAGTCTGTTGAGTAGAGAGTTGTTCATCTTAAGAGTTTAAAATGTAATTGCTGCATTGACTTTTGATTAACAGCCAAACACAAACTCGACTACGTTGCACAGAAGATACTGGAAAATGTAGCGATTTAGTTCAGGCAGTTTGTGGTGACCTTGTAAATTCAAGTTGTGGAAGACAAATGAAACACAGCCTTAGTTGCCCATGAAATCGCGGGCTCCTGTATCGGTGGCTATCCTCATTTGGAGTCCGTTTGGTACAATCCTTAGTGGAAATTCTGATTCAGGTTTTATACTTGAGACTCAAAGAGGCAAAGTACAAGTAAATGCTGCTCGCAGTAAAATGAACTGTTGCGCTTCTTTGCATTGAGCAATGATAAGTTAAAGTAGAGGTAACATTGTGACAGTGTAACATAAATGACAGTATGAATCTTCACACAAATCCCACAGTCTGCTGGAAAAATCAGACGTGTCTCTGGCTGTGTCCACGTTCCATTAGATAATCCTTGAAATTACAAATGTATTTATTTATTTTTCATCAGGGTTAGATTATTGAAGTACTAAAGAAGGGGAATCACCTGTCTTATCACCTTGATGCTACTTCGGCTAGCTAAGAAATGTATTTGCACAAAACCCCATGGCGCTATTTATGAAGATGTAACAGAGAAGATTGCTACAAATTGGTAACCATAGACTGCATGTAAAAGATGGATGCCGTGGTTGGTTCTGATTTTACATTTTAAGGCTTTAATGTTAGTGTTTTGGCTTCTGCCATGTTCATTTCTTTCAGCCAGAAGTTAGCATATTTAGTTGAGAGGCTTAGATGCTAATTAGTGCAAAACAACAGTCTACTGAAATACAAAAGCTGAAGCACATATTCCTTGGGCAGGCTGTACCACACAGCAAGCCATAATACTTGTCTGATAAGTCCAAAACAAACAAAAACACTCCAGAATGGATCGATACTTCACAAGTGGTAGAGACGTTCAGATCAGTGATGCTAATAATTACAACTGTGGCGTAGCACTAAGCTATCAGCTGTGTACGCAGACTCGGCAGCAGCCACACTCTTTAGCACCTTTTAGGGCGTAACAGATGTTTAAAAAACATGCATTATACATTTGTTATGAAGAGGGAGACTAGGGATCCAAACCTCTTGTGCCAGGTTCACTTTTTAATATTGAAAAGTTGGACGTTTTAGCATTGGAATCTGTGGAGATTGAGTCGCGTTTTTTTGTTTTTGTTTTTTTTAAGTCAATTTCAAGTGGTCATTAGTAGAACTGCAGGTTGTTTTGTTGTTGTTTTTTGGGAACTTGTGCTTTGCCAGGGTTGTGCAGTGATGCCAATGGTAGCATGTGAGGGGTTGCGCAATGTAGGAGCTGGAGGTGCTAGCAGGAATTGTTTGTTTTGGATTGTACAAGGCTAGCTGTCTACCTGAGTTAAGCTAAGCTAATCTAACTTTCCTAATTTAGTTTGATCTGTTAAATTTGGTGCACTCAAAACTACTGCCGTGACCTTAAATCATAAAAGGTCACGCAACTATCAAAGAAAAAAAAATCAAATCAAAGTTGCCGTTATTTTTTTTGTAGTTTAGCACGTCATTGGCAGATTATCAAGAAACCTCGTTACTCTTTCTATAATTCATTGTGTTCTAATTGCTGTCTCTGTTATACTACATAGTTTTTATAGAGTCAATCAAGCCTGATGAAAACATCAGGAATCCCTGTTGCAAAGATCTGACGGCACAAGCCACAAATGCTGTCAACCAGTAAATGAGATGCTATCACGAGAAAACACTGTGATATCTTGGGACCAAAGGGCTGTTCTGTGTTCGTGCTATGTATTTATCTGGCAAGTCTATCACGAAGCAAGTTTGGCATTAGGAGCAGCAATATAAACACGCGGGGGGGGGAGTTGTCACACTGCGTCATTGTTTTAATTGGATTATATTGACTGCTGCGGCAGCGCCGTGTGGGTGTACACAGAGGGGCGATTGTGATGTCGTCTAATGCCAAGTTCGCTCATCTTCAGCTTAGTTATACTCTGTTAACACTCTCCCAGCTGGCTCCTACAGGTGGCACAAATACATGTGTTCGTTAAAGAGTCTTTGATTATTGATCACAATCATATGCAACCTAATTGTATGTATCAAAAATCTTGTCTGAGCGACAGCATACAGCCAAGAGGTCCTTTGTAAACTAGGATAGTTACCCTTGAGAAGCTGGCACCGCTGGCTGTTTGGCATTTTGGGCTAAAGTATTACTTCAGTGCAACAAAATGAAGGCCTGCTGGGTGGCTTCAGCTGTTCACTGTGAACATCTGTGGTTCTTATCTGCATGTTTGCAGTTGCACAGCAATTTGCTGGTTAAAGCTTTGAAAAATGCAACATGTAAATTTCATTTGCCTCATATCCTTCAGAATGTTTAAACCGATGCACAGACGTGTCCAGAGTACACGGCTCATTGATCTCTTTCTGTTTTATTCAGGAGGTGAATGTCAGACAGCTCCAGGATGCTGCCCCCCTCATTCATGCCAACCTGCTATTCACCACGGGACATTTGACTCACCAAACATGATGAAGACTGAGCCTCCGTCGGCCACGGGAGGCAACGGGGCCTCCGGTGGGAGCAACGGGAGCTCTAATCTGCGAAGTCCGTCTCCCCACCGCAATGCCTACGAGGCAGGTCTTGCGGCGCTGAAGAAGGCCACAGACCACCTCAACAATGCCGCCAATGGAGGCGCTGACCCTGCCTCAAAACCCGCTCCTCTGCCCCGGCCTACTGGGAGGGGCCGGAAATATGGCTCAAATGTTCACCGTATCAAGAACATGTTCATGCAGATGCAGTCTCCCGGCGATGAAGAGGATGGAGCCAAAATGATTGGTAACTAGCCTTTTCACAGAACCCTTTAGAATCAAGGAATGTAGCAACTTGTAGGGTCGGTTACCGAATTCAGTTAAGGCAGCGGTCCCCAATCCCCGGGCCGTGGACCGGTATCGGTCTGTGAGTCGTTTGGTAATTTCACACCCGGGCCTGTGAAATTTATGGTTTTCAGGGTTTTTATCTGATTATTTTTATCGTTTTTAATAGTTAACTCGGTTTCTCTGGGTCTGTCTGTTATGAATAAATCTTGTTGTATTTATCCGAGACACCTTAAAGGCCAGTCAGAGAAAATATTGTCGGACATAAACCGGTCCGTAGCGCAAAACAAAAGTTTACGGACTGCTGTTTTAGGGTACCGACAAAATTACATTGGTACTAATGAGGACTGATTCATAGTAGATAAGGTTCGGCTGTTCGTGTTCCCCTCGATGTCACACGTAGCGTCACCAGTGATCGTGTTGGGTTTTACCATCATTTCAGTGCTGAAAATTACAAGTTATACAGAGAGCGATGCGGCAATAGTTTGGGGGGAAAAATTCTGCAATGTGTTGATGTATTTGCTTTCTGTCTCGACTGCTTCTACTACTATACCAGCGCTGATGTGGAGGTTTTGTGTCAAGTGTCGATCAGAAGACTACTGCAGCAAGTGCGGCTCTCAGACACCAAATTTAGAATATATTATGCCAAAAGTAATATCGGTTGGTACCAGTATTCAAATGTGCAAGATAAACCCAATACTTGCAATGACAATGATTCCTTTTCTGACTTCTGACAATAACAGGCCAAGTAACAACTGGTGAAATGAAGTGGCTGAGTATCAAGTTAAGCTAATGTGAAAAATAAGGCGAGATTGAATGACTACCAATGGAAAGTTGGTAGACAGTAATGTGAGTGATATGTTGGAAATATACAAGAGGGTTACTTACACAACTAGAACCACAAATATCCTCTAATTCTCAGGTGTCGGCCATCGAAAGACAGAAAAATTGTAAATTCTCCAGTGTTCACAAAGAGAAGCGGGTTTACCATAGTAAAGGTTTGATCTAGAAATCTTTAAAAACACAAATTATCTGATAAGTCAGCTTCGAATGTTAGCACGGCTAGTCATGTTTTTGTGTGTGTGTGTTGAGTGCTGTGCTCAACAACTCTTTTTACCTCTCACCAGTCAAACAGTCAGAGAGGGTGGGGCTTTCAGTATCTGCATTGTGATCAAAAGATGGTTTTTGTAACCTGGAAACAACAAAAGCTTGAGAAGTGCTCTGAAAATAAAGTCACGGGGACCATTAGTCCTCACACTCAAAGCATTTTGCTGTGATGATTCAGTTCTCCTCTGCCTCCTGTCAGAGTGGAACTGAGCATCCAAATACATTAATAAAAGATTTTCATATCCTCAAAAGATTTTATCTTAAGCGTAAAAACACTGTAGCTTCTGCATTTTTCCACCTGGTATTTGCAACCTTAGCACTTGCACTACTGCTACACTACAGACAGAAGAAGCCCTTTTTTACATGGATTAGCTAGTAAGGTTGCTAGCTAGGAACTAGCTAACTAGCCTTTAGCCGTTAGCCTGTCTTTTGTGACCAGTATCCTTATGTTGCATATGTGTGTATTCTTTTTACAAGATTATGGTTTTGAAGTGAGTTCAGATTTTGTTTTTAACATATATTATTAAGCTCCTGCTAAAGCGGCTAAATTTAACCACCAACACTTAAGGCCATGTTTATTGATAGTAGCAGGCATAGAAACTGGGTTATGAACAAAGACAAATGTGTTGATGATATCCATGCTGTGATACTTCGTGTAGCCAAAATTCATTAATGATAAAACCACCTGCTCTGGTGAACTCCAGTGTTAGCCTGTACTTCCCTTAAAGGACAATTTCGTTTTTTTACAACTTGTTTATTTTCTGTCATTAGTAGGTAAGGAACAGGCAGTGAAACTGTCCCTGCCGAGGGTATCCAGCCTCAATGAGCACGTCGACCACAGCGCCCTGCTGAAACTTGGGGGCACGGTCTCTGAAAGGGTCAACCGTTTTGACTCTAAAGTTGGTAGGGAGGGCAGTGGCTCATCTGTGGGCTTGTCCAAGCTCCAGGAGACCAGGAGGATCTTTGAGCAGCGGACTCTGCAGGTCAGATGTTACACTTGCGTTGTTATTTTTTATCATTTAGTTGACATAGCTCGCTTGTAATCTTTAACTGACTGGTTATTTGTGCGTCCTTCAGGAGAAACAAGCTGCCACTAACCGCATCTTGCTGAAGAAAGAGCGGGCGTCAGGCTTCCAGGGCAGCCGTCTAGATGTTGTGGCTCGCTTTAATGGGTCCACCGAAGCTCTGGACCGGCTAGATGATCCCCCTGTTCCCACCCCTCCTTCTATTTCGTCTACTGCAGCTTTAGCCGGGCCAGGCGAGGCCGTCAGTCCCACTGTGAGCCAGCTCAGCGCCGCATTCGAAAAGGGTGACCTGCAAAACAATCTCTACCTCCCCCAGCGTCGGTCAGCCCCTGCTTTGGCACCAAAACCCAAACCTCCACCCAGGGTGGAAGCAGCAGACAGGAAGGTGAAAAGGATTTTCTCAAAAACTTAAAACTTTGCAATTAAGCTGTAGGGAAGTTCTTGAACTAGAAAATCTTTTGATTGCACTACTACATGATCTCCCTGTGCTTTTCTTCCAGACAAAGGTGATACCTGCAGATAAGGACGAGAAAGATGAGGTAAAAGCAGGAGTTATAAGTAACCAGGCAGCAGAGCTACATGAAGAAACGGGTTCTCTAGAAAGGAACATGGAGGGAGCCGCGACCAATGAAGAGAAGGATGCATTTGGACTGTCGGGGGACCAGCTCTCCAACTCTTCCTATTCCTCCTCTTCCTCAGTGACTGTCACTTCCATCTCCTCTTCATCGGAGGCCAAACCAGAGCCGGCAGCAACTGAGGCCAAGGGTTCGAGTACAGAGGAAGCCTCTGGGCTGCAGCCACAGTCTGGCGATCAGGACAGCGCCACTGCGGGATCTGAGGCCGCGGGTAGGCTGGTGCAAGCTGAGGTTCATGCCTCGCTGGAAAATGGAGAGAAAGAGCCTCCATCTTCCTCTCCTTCATCGGAGGAGAAAGAAGAGGACTCTGAGGAGAGGGCCAAAGAAGATGAGAATGACGAGGATGGTTCAAGGAAGGAGGATTATTCTGAGGGAGATCTGATAGATATCAGCGCATACAGCGGGCTTGGGGAGGAGGACTCTGGGGGAAGCCAGCTGGACGATGAGGACGACGAAGACGAGGAGGAGGCATATCAGCCAGAGTCCAGCTGCTCAGAAATCCCTGGCCTTCCTGAGGAAGAGGAGCCTCCGCCACCCAGTAGAAAGATTCGCTTCAGCACTCAGCCAATCAGAGTGAGTTTTTTCTTCTTCTTTTTTTTTGTGCTCACATAGCGCACATTAGTCTTAATTTTACTGTATCCACCACTCCGATTTCATAAGAGGAAGTCAATCTTGAGCCACTTCCTCTGTGGTTTCATCTTCCAGACACGGCAGTTACTGCTTTAGTGATATTTAAAGCAAACGCCACCGACTTTCCAGTAGTGCACAGACTCTTAAGTGTTCATTACACTTAATATGAAACAATCAGCTTCATTAGATTCTCTGGATTTATGTGTGCATTTTGTGCTGATGTCAGCACAGAAAGAGAGGTTAAGGAGCGAGCTGCTCGTTAGGATTCATCCTCCTGAATTAAGGTGCTGGTCGAGGGAAAATGTTGAAGGTAGCACCAAACAGAAAGCGCTGATCTTTAATAAATATGAGGACTTGACAATTTATTTAATTGCTCATAAACTTGTACCTGTTACATATTTTTCTATTAGATTGAATAATAGAATAATAAGTCCCTTTTGCCTCAGTGTTTTAGCATCTTGAAGTTATATATGTTGGTATTTCAGAACCACAAGTTTAGTTTCACAACAACCCGAGTAGCTGCTGTTTTCAGCAAGGAAGCGAGCGCTAGCTGCTAAGCACTAAAAAGGCAGGAAGACGGGGTCAGTAGCATTAAGTTAAAAAGGCCTTCTGCTCAGTATCTTGAGCTCCAGACTCTTGGTTTACAGTAAGTTAGATCATAACTAACTTAGTCGAGCGATGGCACTCGCTTCATGCATGCTCTGCAATTTACGAAACCACGGAAACTCAAAGAAAAATGAACACTGCCCTAAAACAATTGAAAAACACTCAGTGACTTCCTTCATCACACACGAAGGGTGCACAGGGGATTTTCACTCTTTGATTTCGCCATGCTACTTCCTGCCAGTGCTCAAAGTGTTTGTTAATGTAGCTCTTGATTCAAAAGAAGCTCTCCTGTCTGATGGAGAGCTGTCCTGCAGCCTCGCAACAGTCAGCTGGTTGAGCTTGTTGCGTCGTGCAACTTGTCTCGACCTGCATTAATAATAATACGACGCGTCCCCTAATATGTTTAGACAGCCCTCTGAATGACATACCACAGAGTTTGATAATGTAGCACGTAACACTGATAAGAACAGGAAGGAAGAGCGCTGCATGCCGATCTAGAATTGATGTAACTGTATAACGGCAAGTGATGGCGAGCTTTGCCCGCTCGGTCATGTTTGCTACTACGGGGTGGTAGCAGGAAGAACGGGTTTAATTTCAGGCCAAGCGTCAGGGCAAAAAAGGAATTCCTTTCATTTTCATGGACCTGGAAACGTTTAGCGTCTGACCTCTTTGGCCACAGAGCGGCTAAAAGTGGAGCTGTGGCCTGAGGCTGTGTTGTGTTGTTTACTACAAAGGTAACAGCTGCACCCGGGTAGATTTACAACTTTGGGTCTCAGATTCAGATCGGGTTTTTTTTTTTAAAGTAAATATGTGTCCGTGTTTGTGTGTTGCCGTTCTTTCCTCTTGATTCAAAGACATATTTAAGTAACTGTGATAGATTTACAGAGAAGATGTATAATTCTTGGCGATGAAGTGCAAGAGTGGGCTGCAAAAACATTTCAGCCACAGTGATTCAGTTGGTTGCTAGCTGCAGCTTTGTGGCCAGCGTTTTCAAGGTACACTTCCTCCATGCCCGCCCCATCTTTGCATCTCTGCATCATCAGAGTGGGCTCTCACTTTGAATAAAACACAGCGGCTTCTAAGATTCAACATTTGGGTTGTTTTTTCTTTTCTTTTTAATGCACTTCATTTGAGTTCTGCACTAAACACTATCTGGCTCGTGCGAGTTAGATGATGTTTGTGTGCGTGGCTTTTCTGCTGTGGACAAAAACAGCAAAGATACAAGGATGCACCTTTATCCAGCCTGATACCTGATGATGATGATGATGATGATGATGCATGCAGGTGAAGTGCTGATTGGCCGACACAGGGAGAGTAATGGAAGCAGAGTTTGCAACAAAGAAAGACAAAATAATAAATCATTAAAGACGGAGTAAAAGCGAGCCCAGACGATTAGCACAGATGACATCGTTCGTTGTTTTCGACTCTTTGTCCTCCACATCAGGAGGATTTTTCATTTACTCTGTTCTTCGTTTTATATTTGAGCAGCTGTCTTGAATCATTATTCAAAGTTAAGGTTATTATTGAAAATAACTTTGACTAAATTTACTTAACTCTACTTTAATGGTTATTAAGATGTAAACACTGCGTGTATGCAATCAACAGTTAAATCTGAAGACAGCATTCAAACCTCTTTGTCTTTACTCCAACAAATTGTTCTTTTTCTCATGAAGGTGTCCTTCTAACTTCATTCCTCTGATAACATTTTCTGAGCATTTGAACCATGCCTAACGCACATTAATGGTTGTTCTACATATTTTGACAGTGGCCCCCAGCTGTGTGTGCACTAAGGTTGAAACACGTAGACGTGGGTCTACAAACGTAACACCTACACACTTCCAACACAGCAGCAGCTTAAAGCACAGCTTCTGTTGTTTTTTGGAGGCCAGCAACACAGTTTTAATCAAGTTTGAGGGTCAAAACAAGGAGAAAAATATTGGTTTACCAGTTTATCCTCTGCAGTGTGGACATGAGCTTAAAAAGAGCTAGAAAAACATCCACAGAATTAGACCTAAGCTAGCTAAAGGCTGACTGTGCTGACATGGACTCAGTTGGGAAGGTTCCAGTTTCCTCCTGTTATTTCCTTTCAGTCACACTTATGAAGCTGACTTATAAAGTCACAGAATAAAACATGACATGTGGTCCACTTTCGTGCTCCTGTTCACTTTGTCGTGCTCCAGTACAACCCTGGCACTAGCTGACGGTAGATTTGGCGATCGCTCTAAAATGGTCAAAGTCAAGTAACATCCGCCACTTGGTCGTCACCCTGAAACACCTCGGGGCATTTATTCTAACTAAAGTGGTCACTGGGAAATAAAAACGCCATGAAAAGTGCTAAAAAATAGCTTAAAGAGTTTGACAACTTTTCCCCAAAACAAGGCTTTATCAAGCTAACCTCTCCTGTACCTTTAACGACTAGTTTTGACACAGTTTCTGAACAGTTTTTGAACAGTTTCAGGGTTTTTCCAGGGGCAGCTGCATGGCAGAGACCATCCGCTCGAACTTCTGATAAACACCCTGTCGTACAAGCAGGTCCGAAACATGACAAAGCCACTCAGCACAGAGGAGAGATTCAGGGTTACTCCTAATGAGGATAAAGCGTTGAAAAGCCTCTTTCCACTGGAAGTTACGCTTCTAAAACCATCTTTTTTTTTGCACAATTCTTCCAAAGATCTGAACTCAGGATTCTTTGAGTCCCTTTATCTACAACTTGCTGTTCACGGGGAACTTATAGACGATTATACTTAGTAAAGAATCTGACAACTTCATCCACCTTTGTAAAATGTAAACATTTTAGTATACATGACATCATCTCAGACTCTTGTGACCTGTTAGAGTTTCAGGAGAAACTGAGTAAGCATTCATGTATGAACTGGTGCCGTTTCTTACAATGCAAAGAAGAAAACAGTGATGCTTGTCCAGTCGCTTTGACATTACTGTGTTACAAGAAATGTCAGACATGAAGAATTATTAATAAATCAAATCTGACACAGCAGAGATCATCGTTTTGGTTCAGAGGAAGCTTCAACAGTTAAAGCTAGACTCAGCAGTTATCTGCACACACACACACACACACACACACACACACAAACACACACACACACACACACGCTTCCTACTCATATGCTCGTTGCTATAGAAGATCTATAAATGACGCCGCACTGAAGCGGAGGTTTATGAGGGGGAATGAAATGAAATCACAGCCAAGCAGCAGTGCAGATTACTCACAGTCTAAAGGAGGAAAAACAAAACAACTTGATTTCAGAGTACTGAAGCTACCGGTCAATAGCTTCAGCTGGACCAGGGAACAATAGTCTTTCAACAGGCCTCGCCTCAGGGGCATCTTCTGTCAGGAAAAGTTGTCCAGTGCTGACACGGTGCCAAGCCAGCTAAACTTGGAAACATAAACATCCCGTCTGACAGAAAGTTGGCTTGCTTCAAAAGAGTGTTGGACCTCAACCAGATGCAGGAAGACCATTGGTTGCTGGGTGAAGCGCCTGATAAGCCTTTAGATGCAGGTTATATGCTTTTGGAGGGGCCTCGGTTCGCGGCACAATACAAGCAAAAGAACATTACGTGATATATCGGCTGTTTCGGGGTAGATATAAATGAGTGTGGAAAAGCTTTAATTTCAGGTAACACAAATGAGTCTGACATATTTGTTGGAACAAACACACTTGGTGTACATGAAGCGCCATTAGAGGAGCGGACGTTGTTTGATTTGAACCCATCGCTCGTCTGAGAGGTGTCCCGCTGCAGGGAACAGAGACGCTCACTGTCCGAGCATGTCGAGTGCCGTCAGCAGCCGGTTTCTGGAACGGAGTAATTGCTGTTCTTGCATCATGAAGTTGGCGTTAGCCAGCACAGCTCAGAGCTCCTCAAGTGTTGAGCAAGTCTGCAGAACATCGCTTCATTAAAATGTCCTCTGCAGCTGAAATGCCATGTGATTACAGCACGGGTTAATCAGCCTGTGTGAGAGGTCTTGTGATTTTTGGACTTGCACGCGGACGCTGTGTCATCATAAAGGTTAATGCGTGATGAAGACACGTCGGAGTGGCCGCTGTAGGTTGCTATGCGATTGGTCTAAACTTTCTCTCACACACACAGTGCAGATGCTGACTTGTGTACAAGGCCACCTCTGTAGGACTGTTAAAAGCAGCAGCTGGAATGTGGATGGGTGTGTTTGTTTTCCTCGGGGAGGAAAAAAAAGCGCGCACAAGCAGGGGAAGCCGGCTGATAAGAATCACAGAATAGAGCTTTGTTTGGATTTAAAAAACTACCTGGTGTGTACAGTTATGTGAACTGAAGGGGGAAAATCTCTTTACAAAGGTAATGAT